GATGTCCCTAGACAGTCCCCGAGGGGACTTGGGGATGGGAGAGATACTAGTGAACTATGGTGTAGCCAAGGGGACAGGGGACACTTGGGGGATGTCCCTAGACAGTCCCCGAGGGGACTTGGGGATGGGAGAGATACTAGTGAACTATGGTGTAGCCAAGGGGACAGGGGACACTTGGGGGATGTCCCTAGACAGTCCCCGAGGGGACTTGGGGATGGGAGAGATACTAGTGAACTATGGTGTAGCCAAGGGGACAGGGGACACTTGGGGGATGTCCCTAGACAGTACCCGAGGGGACTTGGGGATGGGAGAGACACTAGTAAACTATGGTGTAGCCCAGGGGACAGGATCACTTGTGGGATGTCCCTAGACAGTCCCGGAGGGGACTTGGGGATGGGAGAGACACTAGTGAACTATGGCGTAGCCCAGGGGACAGGGGACACTTGGGGGATGTCCCTAGACAGTCCCCGAGGGGACTTGGGGATGGGAGAGACACTATTACACTATGGGGTAGGAACTTGTATACTGGAGATCTTGGGACTGTCCCATGAGGACAGGGGATACCATAGGCGAGTCCTGGACGCATTTCCTTTTACGCACAGCACTGTCCTTCCTTTGTTCATCGACTCAGGTACATCTCCTGATTGTAGCATAGGTTCTTTAGGTATACAACTCTTATGTATTAATTTCATGCCGACATTAAAATAAACACCACCTTTTGGAAGCCATGGAGCCGTGACTTTGAAGCGCGGTACAATTCTATGTATACCAATCAGCGATTTTGCACCCTGGACATCCCATAATTTCTTCAAATTGTAAGATGGTGACCTCATTTATAGTAAAAAGATCATTTGTCCCAACGAATCCTATAAACTCCGCTGCTTGTTCATCTTGCAATAGTCTCCTTCACGGATACCTGCGCCATCTTCAAAGGTAGCCGTGCCTAATTGCACCGAAGCGAGACGACCGTTGAGCGTGCAATGATAGATACCTGTGAATAATTGTCTATAGGTGTGAAAGAAGGTTTCTATCATTGCACGCTCAACGGTTGTCTCGCTTCGATGACAAGGCACGGCTACCTTTCAAGATGGCGCAGGTAACCGTGAAGGAGACTATTGCTTTGTAAGTCGGTTTAGTCAACCAAGATATCTCATGTTTTTTCATTCGGATGTGGCGTCATGGCAATGAAACATCAAAAATCAGGGGTGGATCACTTGCAAAACAATTTCTTAACTCGTTCCATACGATAAACATTTTTTCAAGGTTCTATAATAAGTGTGAGAACTATAACTACCAACACGCTTTGCTGCACAAAATGGCTTCTATGCCTATGGCGTCGCTTCGCCCATGAAAAAAACAAATAGAAAAATAACCGATCAAAAAGCCTGATAATACACCTTTTCAGTTGCTCTTAGGCCTCGACAGCGTGTCAAATATTCTTTTGAATTTGTAGGAATGTGAGTACAAACATTGTTATGAATAGTCTCAATTGTCAAATTCAAAAGAATAATTAACTTGTGTAACAATGTTTATTTACTCTTCTAGTTCAATAAATAGTCTTTGCTAGTTGGGGGTTCCAGTTGGCTCTAAATGGTTTCTTTTCCAAAACGCAAACGGAGATGTTCGTTTACGTAACTCCAAAGTCACTCTGCCCCACACGCACGTGGATCCGATCTTAAATATAATAATAATAATTATATGATCAAATGCGCATTAAATAGGCTTCACCTCCCCTGGGACCTATCCTAATACTAAATACTAACCCTGTTACACAGCCATTCCCTCTTAAAAAACGGGGGGGGGGGGGGGGGGTGCACATGAACATGGGTGAGAGTGAATGTGGACTGTTGTAAGGCTATTTGCGTGTGTTCCAATCAGTGCTGGCAAACCTTGATGGTCTCGACCTTCGCGGACAACTACTGGTTTCACTACTGGTTGTGTCAGCTGGAGGTGCTTGATCCGCACTAAATGGGCACAGGCGCAGGTGATTTCTGTGTATCGTCTTTAACCTTCCTTGCCTATCCACCCTCTTTATCTTGTAGACCGGAAGATCCTCGTTCGTTTTGTCGATGACCTCGTAAACGTTTTCCTCCCATACGTTGTCGAGCTTGCCCTTTGGTGTGAAGTTTCTTAATAAGACTCTGTCCCCAGGCCAGACGTCATKCATGGTTGGCTTACGATCATACATTCGCTTCATTCGACTTGAGCTGGACTTTGAATGTTCAGCGGCAATCCTGTAAGCTCGCCTAAGACTTTCTTTTAAGTCTACTATAAACTTTGATGTAGTCGTCTTGTTCGGATTAAGTCCAAGATGCACATCGATAGCTAATCTGGGGTGTCTTCCAAACGTGAGGTAGTGCGGAGAATAACCAGTCGACTCGTGTTTCGTACAATTGTAAGCATGCACCATTGGAGCTATAAAATCCTTCCATCTTTTTTTGTCTCCGTCCTTTAAAGTCCCCTGCATGTGTAACAAGGTTCGATTGAATCTTTCACACATACCGTTGCCCATTGCATGGTAAGGGATTCTTGACTTGGAGATGTTTGCCAATTGACAGAGTTCCTTCATGATAGCAGATTAAAAATTCCTGCCTTGGTCGCTATGCAGCCTCTATGGAAAGCCATAATGGACGATGAACTTGTCAAACAAAACTCGTGCTGTGGTTCGTGCCGTTTGGTTTAGCGTCGGAATCGCTTGTGCATAGTGTGTGAAGTGGTCTGTTATCACTAATACATTTTCATAGCCTCCGACAAACTTCTCTAGTTTCAGATAATCAATACATACTAACTCCAGTGGGGAGGAAGAACTTATCGAGGCTTAAGTGCAACTGAAAAGGTGTATTGTCTGAAATCTAAAATCATTTGATAAACAAACAAAGGAATCAAATATGTTCTATGATAGAGATTTTATTTGAATTTGACACAGCGCTATCAATTCTAACTATATTACTTGGGAACAAAGCTCATTACTTTCCTTACTATACTTGAGGCTCGGTTTTTTGGATAATGAATTCCTAGGTCAAAGTCGTCTCGGTCACGCTCTTCCTTTTCATNTCGCTATTATATAAGGACACAGAGTATATGCCTACCTTTTCTCTTCATTGCTTAGTAAACTAATCGCTTCTTCTCCGTTTTTTTCGTGAAGATATCGTTGTAGACCACTTATAATGCTGTGCAAGGTACGAGCTGGATACCTCTCTCCATTTGGCTTGCAAACTTCACTTACAAATTTAACTAACCAGAAGTTAAGGGTTTCCGCGGACATTTCAATGATGTTTGTTGTCAAGTTCTGAATGACTTTTCCTTGTGGCATGTCTTTAWCTGTAGGTTCTTTTTGKGTTCGTTCTCTYTGCCACTCTTCAAATATTTTCACGGCCCATTTTGTAACATATTGCGTTGATTTAGGCTGGTGGTCCTTTATAAACTTTTCTTCTTCGGCATAACTTTTAGGCTTCCGAAAGCTTTGAAAGTTTTGAACTCATTTTGTCTTTAACGACCAAAAATGCTTGAATGCTTGCATTTATATTACTAGCGTTGTTTACTTTAAGTGGCATTTTATTAACATTCGAAGAACAAAACCACTGCTCAAACCACTATCCCCTCGAGTTTTGTAAGCAGTTGTTTACTTAAAGCAGCATTTTATCAACATTTGAAGAACAAAACCAACTTGAACCACTATCCCATTGGGTTTTTGAAAGAGTAGTACAAAAATGTACCAAAAACACAAATTTCTCTCTCCGACAGACTCAGATATTTGAACAGAAAAATTGTCCCTATATTCAGGTTTCTGGTTCAATTCTTCTTACTTTCAATTTCCATGATTTGTTTTTCAAGATCGATATATCTTGACCTAAATTCCTTTGCACGTTTTTTTGAATAATTGATAGAAAATTTTCGTATTTCATATTTAGCTAACTCCCAAACACTTTGCGCACTTGTTATATTGTCCCTTTTTGTGTCGGACAAAACTTTGTATATTAGATGGTTGTTGCCTTTTACGTAATTATCTTCTCTTAACAAAGAATTATTAATTTTACAAAATAAGGCCCCCTCGTTCCTCCTTCGAAAGACTGAAGTTTCGTTATTATGGCTGAATGGTCTGTCGATGGAGCTGGTACAATTTTCACAAAATCTACAAATAGTTAAAAAGGTTGCAAGGCATCTGAAATAAAAGACTAATCCAGGCGTCGAAAAAGACGCTTGTCTTTGTTAGTCGCTAATCCCTGAGCCACTCCATTCCAAGTATAATGTTTAAGTWGTGGATTGCGGACTCGCCATATACCACAAAGATCCGCTTCGGAATCGCTTGTGCATAGTGTGTGAAGTGGTCTGTTATCACTATATACATTTTCATAGCCTCCGACAGACTTCTCTAGTTTCAGATAATCAATACATACTAACTCCAGTGGGGAGGAAGAACTTATCGAGGCCTAAGTGCAACTGAAAAGGTGTATTGTCTGAAATCTAAAATCATTTGATAAAAAAACAAAGGAATCAATTATGTTCTAATAGAGATATCAAACCACTTTTGAAATTTCATTTCATGTTTTTTAATTCAATTTTATTTGAATTTGACATTGCGCTATTAATTCTAACTATATTACTTGGGAACAAAGCTCATTACTTTCCTTACTATACTTGAGGCTCGGTTTTTTGGATAATGAATTCCTAGGTCAAAGTCGTCTTGGTCACGCTCTTCCTTTTCATCCTTATTTGCCATATTCTNCTATAAACTTTGATGTAGTCGTCTTGTTCGGATTAAGTCCAAGATGCACATCGATAGCTAATCTGGGGTGTCTTCCAAACGTGAGGTAGTGCGGAGAATAACCAGTCGACTCGTGTTTCGTACAATTGTAAGCATGCACCATTGGAGCTATAAAATCCTTCCATCTTTTTTTGTCTCCGTCCTTTAAAGTCCCCTGCATGTGTAACAAGGTTCGATTGAATCTTTCACACATACCGTTGCCCATTGCATGGTAAGGGATTCTTGACTTGGAGATGTTTGCCAATTGACAGAGTTCCTTCATGATAGCAGATTAAAAATTCCTGCCTTGGTCGCTATGCAGCCTCTATGGAAAGCCATAATGGACGATGAACTTGTCAAACAAAACTCGTGCTGTGGTTCGTGCCGTTTGGTTTAGCGTCGGAATCGCTTGTGCATAGTGTGTGAAGTGGTCTGTTATCACTAATACATTTTCATAGCCTCCGACAAACTTCTCTAGTTTCAGATAATCAATACATACTAACTCCAGTGGGGAGGAAGAACTTATCGAGGCTTAAGTGCAACTGAAAAGGTGTATTGTCTGAAATCTAAAATCATTTGATAAACAAACAAAGGAATCAAATATGTTCTATGATAGAGATTTTATTTGAATTTGACACAGCGCTATCAATTCTAACTATATTACTTGGGAACAAAGCTCATTACTTTCCTTACTATACTTGAGGCTCGGTTTTTTGGATAATGAATTCCTAGGTCAAAGTCGTCTYGGTCACGCTCTTCCTTTTCATCCTTATTTGCCATATTCTCACAAAGGTCCTYCAGGGGAATGGTTTTTACAGRTGGATTATCTAATGTAGGATGTAGACACTTGTAGTAGACAACCATCATCAGAAGGCCTATTCCAAAACAGAGAAAAATGACGGACATTCCCGAGATTTCCAGCTTGTATGAAACATAGCTTRTAGTGTTTGTAAACCAAATACTTGAAAACAACACGGCTTCTAAACCAATTAAGAGATAATATTTAACAGCCCAACTTATCAATCTACTTGCTTCGAGGACAAAAAACGAGAAAATGTGCATGTACGCTATAATAACACGGGTAAACATCTGGAGTTTGTTGTGCAGATCATGGTCTTTATCATTGTGTTCAGAATCATTGTTGTTGAATGAATGAGTTGAAGCATTTAGGTTAGTGATGATMATTGAATCGGTGTTGGTAGATGATTTGAAATTGATGTTCTTGACCATGCTTTCATTGGTTGAGTTGATGTTATTGGAAATATCACTGTCAATATTACTGCTGTTTTTACCAATGTTACTGTGGTTTTTGATGTTAGCACAGATGATGTCATTGATAATAATGATACTAGTATTTCCTGTGGCATCCACATGATTCGTGGCTGTTAAAGTGTCCCTGTCAGAAAAGATGTTAGTATCAGCGATTTTGTTGTCGATATTGATGCTAGTGGTGTTGGCAGTGTTGTCATTAGTTGTGTTATTGTCAGTTGTGGTGATAGTGTCTGATACGATGGCAGTAGTTTCAGTAGTTTCAGTAGTGCTGCTGATATTATTTATGTTGGTGTTGTTGCCGAATATAAGGCTTTTAGCTGTACTATTAGAATTATTATTTTCAATAAAAAATTTCATTTCTTGTTTCCAAATCAAAACCAGCACAACAACAAAGTGCAGACACAAGACACAAAAGAACCAAAGATGAAACTCAGTGGCGAAGAAAACCAGGACGAAAACCCTTGACACAATCATGAACGCCCGCCAAAATAATATTGCAGCAAAGCCAATCCATCCCAGCTCTCCTTTGTCTGCTTTGGAGTCCCTCAATGCGTTCTGATAATTTGTCAAAGCCAGTGAATAAGAAATAAATGAGCAACATATAGCAGCAAGTGTTTTTATATCTTGTACTCTCATTGAGATTAAGTGTTCTACGCGGTTTTGACGGATAAGGACATAAAGTTGTAAAACTAGTTGAGGTGCATCTTCAGTGAAGGCAAGTATCATTTGCAGCATGGCCGTGTCAAGGTTCATGGCGATGTTCAACTTGAATGGCGTCACATGCGAAAACGTTTGAGACCTTGTTTTGAAGCGTTGAACAATTACACGCCAATATCTAAACAGAGACAGATAAAGGTCGTAAGTAGTATGTACTGACTTCAACCAATGTACAACAATATCATTGTATCTGCTCTCCTTGTTGAGTACATTACATTGACATTATTGTCTACTAAAGCAAAATATTATCTTGTGTCCGCTGCGATGTTTTTTTTTCAAATCTTCGTTTTATATTTGTTTTGAAAATCAAGGCAACTGATGATAAAATGGAGGAATTCAAAAGTATGGATTCAAAATATTGAACAAACAAATGTTGAAAACGTAATTCGACATGCATCGTTCAACAGCGTTGCACAGCAAAGTCGAACTGATGCTAAAGGAAGCAAATAATTGAAAGTCGTTATTTCAATTCTCACTAGACATTTTGGCCTTGCAACTGAAAACCAAGCAGCCTCATCCGGAGTTCCCTGCTTTAAACGGATTTAAAACATAACCTCTGAATCAGAGCGAAACGACCGATTAAGCGTGCAATGGTTTCCACCATCTCGAGTCGTATATGAGCTGATAKCCTGAGAGGCTTTGCTGAATCAGTTATTTGAGGAGAGGACTTTGCCGTAAACGTCTGTGTAAAACTAAGAGATGATAGCTTAGTAGTAGAGTAGCCTTTAGTCCCGTTTAGCTACAGCTAGCCCGACTAATAGTTTTATAATGAAACACTATGGTGGTCAAACTTGAAAGGARCGGTTAAGGTGTTTCGATCGTAATGAATAGCGCTTCGCGCGTATTTTTAAACTCCAACTACGTCGCAAATTTCGATTACATTACACTCAAATTTTCACAGAAGTAACAGTGATTATCGATAATTCTTGTTGTTTGAGTTGTTTGAGCAAATGATGTACATTCGAACAAATCGAAATTTTAGGTTAAGATTTTATTAACCTTGTCAGTATATCAATTATGTTATTAAGAAATTATTCTGAAAATTTTATTACAATTTCTGCGATGAGTTTCGAGAAAATTAATTTTAAAGAAAAATGAAGTTGTTTTTATTTAGCATCGTTTATCCAAATGGCTTCGCTTTTTGGCAAATTAATTTATCAAAAAGAATTATCGATAATCAGTTTGACTTCAGTGAAAGTTTGAGTGCAATTAAGCGAAACGCTATTTATTACGATCGAAACACCTTAGCCTGAGTATCAGGCTCTCTCGAAGGGGTTTGGGGCGGAGCGAGAAAGGAGAGAGAGCACTCCGCCCTAAACCCATTCGAGAGAGCCTGATACTCAGGCTAGAAACACCTTAACTTCAAGATGGAGTAGGCATGTGACTATGGAGTAAAAGTTTGATATAATGCATTAGTACGAGATTTTAATCTTACGAGATTTTAAGTCATAAAGGGTGTGCGAAGTCAAAGTTTTGTTCAGAATATATTAGAAATATTGCGGTCGTAACACTAATGTTCAAAAAGTGATAAAGTATTTTTTTARAGATTAGCCATTTTACGTGTTATTTGGTAAAAAATCAAGATTGTCCTGTCTATAAAATATTGACTTTTTTAATTCAAGGTTTTTCCAAAGATGTTTGATTCCTTTGACCCTTGAAAAGGTATTTTGTCGACTTTTATCAATTTTATAGCAGATGCAACAAGTCAAAGGACCGGCATGCCGCACAAATGTCAAAATGATACAAAATAATTCAAAATAAATATTATTGTTACTCATAAAATGCTTACCGCTCGATTAATCCAAGCTGCAAAACATGTGCAATTTTAACAGCTTTCCAACCACTTTCAGGTTTTCTTTTTACTTTCTCTTCGTCGTTCACATAAAAGAAATATGACATCAGATTGACGAAAATTGAAGGCAAAATCACCAACATGAGCGTTAGAGATCCCCACCAGGTGTCCCCTTGGGAAAAATGTGATCGGGCAAGATTGAAATCAGTCCCAACATCTATCAGATAAGTCAAAGGTGCTAAAAAGGCGGAAATTAAACTCCACCATCCAACTTTTCCTCTTCGCTTCCAAACTTCTTCTTCTTCTTTTTTCTCTTCGATTAATGAGTTAGCAGGCAATGGATTCATCTTTGAAATGTCATTGTTTTTGGAGAGGGAGTTCCGTTTACATTCTTGAATCATTTCGTTAACATTATGGACAATAAACCTCGTCTCTTCAGATAACTCGACGAGGAGTCGAGACGGAGAGATGAAATCCTGGTAATTAAAGCTGGACGAACTGATCACCTCACCGTCGACCAAATCGAAACCTAATTGAGAGTCTTTGAACTCTTTGTAGGCTTGAACAACTCTACGCAAACGGATATCATCAGTCTTGCTAATTTGATCCCCATTGCCTTTTAGTGTGGAGAGGTTTGAAAGATGTCTTGCAATCTTCTCAATGGTTTTTCTCTCATCGTCTGYTAGGTTCTCTATGAAGAGATTATTTTCTGTGCTCATGGCGAGTCGGCAACAAAGGGACGTGTCTCGGTGCACAAACTTTATAGTMGGTATAGTCCTGTTCGAAACATGACATTACGTCACGCTYAAGTGCTTTTAATGACCGGAAACAATAGTACCCTTTAGTACACTTTAGTAGAACAACTAAACAAGTAAATAAATAAGTAAACAAGTAAATAAATAACTATCAAAATGTAAAATATTCATCCAGTTGATAAATTACTTAAAATCGTTGAGTCAATTACTGGACATATTAAGTCAATTGAAACGAAATCCAACGTTTCCAACCATCGGTCTTCATCAAGTTCATCAGGGTAGTTATTATGAGCCTGTGGAGTTGACACTTGGGCTTTTATTAGTCGGGCTAGCCATAGGCTAGGCCGACTTTAGTTTTACCTTTTTGTCAATCTATGTGTCATGTCGCGTTTGGGACACCGGAAGTTCAATCCGCAACCTTCCTNATAAGTAAACAAGCAAATAAATAACTATCAAAATGTAAAATATTCATCCAGTTGATAAATTACTTAAAATCGTTGAGTCAATTACTGGACATATTACACCCGATTTCAAATGAGTGCGAACTCTCGAATTTTTTTTCGGACGCTAAACTTTCACTCGACCATCATTCACTCGACCACTTGGTAACCTGGCACAGCTTGAAGCGGGTAAAATTATCCAAGTATAAAAACCATGGTTAATGTATGTCTGTGGGCTAAATTCCTACAGTTTGTGAATCTACAAAACGAACTTATTGTAAAAACTAGTTTCGGTTTACTTAACTTTCTCAGCTCACAATTACAACGAAATAGTTGAAAAATAAATAGCGTGACAAACACTGACAAGCCCGCGCACTTTAAATCGCTTTTAGTGTTCGTAGGCTGTTCTTTGTTGATTTTACTAGTTTACTGATTAAGATGAAGAGGTTATCGGACGATATTCGGTGGAAGGGTATTTACCATGAACTTATTTACGGTTCAAGCATTAAGGAAACTTGTAGAGCGTTATTTGTAGGGAAAACGTTTGTTTGGAAAATTCGACAACTTTATAAACGTACAGGAAATGTTCCTGTACATACACATGAAAGTGTCATTGTAAACTTGTATTCAAGATCAATCAGGGTTTTTACAGTAATACGAATAAGAATATATGTACTTCTTCGAAAGAAGGTTACATTTAAACATAAGCTACTTAATTTAAACAACAATGTTGTAATTATTTTTTCGCTTGCTTGATAATTTTTATATTGTAAGCTTAAATTGTTTACATAACGAAAGAAAAGAAAAATGTGTATTTTAGTTCAACATGAGAATATCTTTTCAAGATGCAGAAAACAACACCCTCAAGTTCATGGTTCTTGCAAAGCTATACCTAATTGTGCAAAGTATTATTTGCATGCATTTGATGTTTACAAGTTAATAAAGCCAAATTTGAACTACAAATCAGATAGAAAACTATATTTTTAAATCAAATTTAGTTGATATTCTTCTAATTGTTCTCAATTGCATGGAGTGAAGTAGAATGTTCTGGGAAACACAAGGACCACAGATATCTCGAGCAAAGACCACCGCTTCTTCCTCCATAATTCTAAATGCGAAAGTCCCGCTACAGAAAATCACGCATCACTTACTAAACACGTGTGCCTGGTTACCAAGTGGTCGAGTGAATGACGGTCGAGTGAAAGTTTAGCGTTCAAAAAAAATTCGAGAGTTCGCACTCATTTGAAATCGGGTGTAAGTCAATTGAAACGAAATCCAACGTTTCGACCGAAACCATCGGTCTTCATCAAGTTCATCAGGGTAGTTATGAGCCTGTGGAGTTGACACTTGGGCTTTTATTGTGGGTGCTTTCCATTTAGGCAGAACTTAAACAGCGTTACAAGTTATGAAGTTACAAAGTATGGTTTGAAATGTATGGTTTGAAATGTCCAACCCTGATCGTATCAACTTATCAAGGCTCGACCTTCCTTCATGTATACAACACAGGGTTCCAAAAGGGTTAGGTTTAGGGTAAGGGATAGTTGGTTATATTGAGTATAATGAGTGTTGTATACATTGAGAAAGAGCCCGACCTTCGGCGATAAACGAATAAATGAATAAACGAATAAATGAATAAACGAATAAATGAATAAACGAATAAATGAATAAACGAATAAATGAATAAACGAATAAATGAATAAACGAATAAATGAATAAACGAATAAATGAATAAACGAATAAATGAATAAACGAATAAATGAATAAACGAATAAATGAATAAACGAATAAATGAATAAACGAATAAATGAATAAACGAATAAATGAATAAACGAATAAATGAATAAACGAATAAATGAATAAACGAATAAATGAATAAACGAATAAATGAATAAACGAATAAATGAATAAACGAATAAATGAATAAACGAATAAATGAATAAACGAATAAATGAATAAACGAATAAATGAATAAACGAATA